ATGTTAGTAAAATGGCCCATGAAGTTCTGATCTGTACGTAACCTTGATGAGGAGTAAGTCGCTATTTTTTTGCGTTTTCATGAAAGGAATCACATGTAAAAGCCTATTATTTTAATAAGGTAATGATGTACTTTGCAGCATGTGGAGAACCTTTTGGATTCTTTTTGGCTGCCTTTTTTATGACCTGACTGGTTATCCTATCTCTGTTTAATTAAATTAAAGACCTAGTTCTCAGGCTTGTCACAGGTCCATGCTTCTTGGACACCTGTACACTGTGTGATGAGAAAATGAAAATGCCATTGAGCCTGTACTGGATTATTAGAATTTATGAGGATTGTGGGACTGGTTTTGTGCATTGTCTGAGGATGCTCCATGTGGGTGGGGGGATATTTTTAGTCATTGCACAGTATGCCAACAAGGCTGGCTGTGTGGCTACAGCTAGGTTGCTGTTATACACAAGGATCTGTTATTTAGAGCAGTTGTCTGTGAAGATTCTCATTTATCCATGTCATTGTATATCTTGTAGTTGTTGACACTACAAAACAAGTCAAGTTGAATGTGAAATAGAAGATGTGTGGAGTGCTTGTACCAGATGAGGAGAGAAGAGTTGTAAAGCCTGTGGTATTTTCCATGATTTTAAGTTTATTGGGGTTCTAGGACAAAGGAAGGAACAGGAATGATGGCCGTAAGGACATTTAAAGTCCAACTCTAGCTATTTTTAATTTTTTTTTACTTAGGATTTGAGTTGGGAAGAGCTAATGTTTCTGTAAAGTGTCAGATGCTCTCTGTGTTACGGTGAGATTTTCTGTTAGCTTTGAATGCTGACAGTGTTCCCAATGAGCAAATTTCTCTTTTCTTCCTGATCTATTGGACACCGATTATCTGGACGGAGAACGAGTAAAAAATCTCCATCAAGGGGGCACAGAGAGCAATACACTCCTGACAGGGATTGTAAACTTTCCTCACTAGTAGAACATGGGCTTTTGCTTCTTCCCTTTGTCCTCATTGAGGCTGGATTTACCCTTACTTCCTGTTCTGTTTCATGCCTGTCAGATAGTCAAGAAGTGAGATTCTCCCTCATATCCTGTCAGATAAACAGGATGTAAGGATAAATCTCCCATATGAAGTCAGCAGTAAAAGTTGACCATACTTCTAACCTTCCACTCTAGAGAAAAAATTTTTTTTAATTTTTTTTGTGTTTATACTGTAATTGTGTCTAATAATTACAGTATTAAAAAGGCATACAGCCATCTTCAGGTTGGAGTGCCCTCTGCAGGCTGAAGGCTTATTTTGTGAATGAAGCCTCCTTGTAACATATGATCCCTATGTTACAGCTGACCTCATGATCACATGATCGGGAACCACTCTGATTGGTTCCCAGTCGTTAGTGGGTGTGAAGCTGTTTTTGACAACCAGGTCTAACTTCTACCAGCCACACAAAGAGAGAGACATAGATCAACTTTCCTTCAGCTCAAGGCATCATGCAGGGGAGCATTGATCTACAGATTTCTTGGAAGAATAGGGTAATCACCTGAGGCCGCTATTTACCTAGGGAATGTGTTGGAAAAGGGAAACCTATTTCATTGTGGCTGTAATAATGACCAGTGAGGTGATCTTCTTGTAGGCTTCTTACTTTTTATATATGGTATAGACCTTGAAAAGCACAAAAGCCTCCTACTGTAGTTTTGCCTCTGTAGTCTAAAGGGAAAATACTCCTTTAAGTGTTAGTGTGTGCAAATTCAAGAAAGTCAAACGCAGCATGCTTTCAGGAAAAAAATGACTTATATTTGTGGAGCTCTTGTTTCTATTTTCATGGACCTAAACTAAAATGCAGCTGAACAGGACGTGCTGCTTTGTAAAAAAAAGTTGCTTAACATGATCCAGTTCAAAATGTAAACACTTTGTTCCATATCACTAAATAATATCTCTGAAAGGCAAATAGAAGAAATAGAAGAAAATTAATTAAAATGTATATTTGGACTAACCAAAGCAGATATCTGCATCCAAAATCTATAAATATGTTTTGTGATTTAGCTTTATAACTTGTGGGATGCAAAGTGGTGCGGCAGCAGTAAACAGAGTCCAGTTGCAGTAGCAGAACTGTATTGAAGTTAAAGTTCAATAAAGCACAGCTACCCGAAAGGAAGACCAAACGCACTCACAGAATGTTGCAGCAAACAGTATACAGTAGATCTGGGGTGCATCGACATCTGTCTTGAAGGGCGGAGTGCTGCCTGACCAGTTCGTACTCAAACTGGGAGGTTTCTGAGAAGGATGGTGTGTCCCTGCTTTTTCCCAACTTGTCTGGAACCTCTCCTTGCTGCTAATTACTGTCCCTGACAGACGGGTGACTTGTCCTTACACTACCCACGCGCGAAATGCATGCCAAGCCTGGTTGCCAGGGTTTTAAATAGACTCCGCCTGACCCAAGATGGCCACCAGAATAACATGGGGCACCAGCATCCAATCGGATAGCTTCCCCAGTGACCTAGGAAACCTTAGGGGAAAGTGTTCCTCTTGATCTCCTCTCCCTTTGCAGTGCAGCTGCTGATGAGCGTCACCTGCAGTGGTGAAAGCTAACTACACCTGCCTACAACTGCATAACTAAACTAGTCACCAATAATTATACAGGTGTGGAATAATTCCTGCCGCCAACACTTTATCCACAATTTTTCACTTTAACCTAATTTAACCCCTTAACATTTAAATTTAAAGTTTAGTCCCCCCCTCCTCTGTTTCCTACCCAGCTTCCCTTAATTGTTTTCCAGGACTGTTCTTAATGCAAATACTCACCTGCCTAGTGGATTCAACATTGTCCTTCTGTGATCCATCATGTCAATACCACACAACTTGTCTCGTCCTACCATCTTTGTTCCTGATGTCATCAGGTGCCTGTTCCTGGTTCAGGTAGCTTGCCCCCTCGCTGATGACATACATCAAGCCCACCCTCCTCTGGCTACCATGGATGGAGAGTGAAGCATCCTAGCATATGTGACGCCATTCTAGCCAAGGTGAAAATGGTGAACGGGGGTGGGGTGGACAAAAAGAAAGCCCAAAATTATATGCAAACAAAGAATTGGGGGAGCTTCCATTTCATATTGTGAAGGGGTGGAAGAGAGAACTGATAATCAGTGCATCCGAGGGTGAGCACTAAAACATAAGGCTTGACCTACCCTTAACTCTTACCCAGACTGCTAGTAGTAGTTGGTCATATTCAAACTGGGCTCGTTCAGTAATGTTGAAGACATTTCTTCAAGCCACTTCTTCAGTTCCAGTGAGCGTCATGAAGATATACTAGCATTTATATATACATAGGAAGTCTACAAAGTGTTAATTCCTCCAGTTACATTGCCAAAGATGTGAATCGTTGCCAGTTAGCTAGGGTAGAGATGTCAAACAACATTTTGTATAGAAGACTGATGGAATCAAAGTCCCACACTCCTGTTCAAGCATGGCTGTTCCAGTTTGGTGTAGATAGCCTCTTTCACTCATGTGAACCATGTAAATAGAGGAATTGACACCTATGCAGACTTCCTGACTCCAAGGATGGTATTATGTACCTAGATCAGGGTGGTTTCACAACTTTCACACCTCCCATCCTGTTCTTGGACAATCAGTATCTCAATATTCCATGGTGATTGAGTCGAGCTGTCTGTGCTACCTGTCTTGGTATAAATTCTGGGGTGTCTTTCTGATACTCTTTGGAACTGAAGAAGTGGCATGGAGAATCTACAAAAGGTCTTCAACATTACAGAACATACAGTATTCAGTTGAATGTGACTAACTACAGCTATCTATATCATGACCTGGATAAAAGAGATCCTTCACAGGCATCTTAACCCAAACCTGTCCCTGATTTGAGAGGACAAGTATACTAACCCACAATCTCTTATTTTCAGCTAACCTACATTAAAGCTCCCACTTCATAAATGCTTCCTTAACTCAGTAGGACAGCCCCAGCCTGCTCTGTGCCATGCCCGTTTTCACGCTTTCCAGCCAAAAACCACCTTCGACATTGCTTGCGCCTCTGCTGTTAGTCCTCATAGACTTGTACATGGTCATCTCCCTAAAACCGGATGGCCATATACAAGTCTATGAGGGGTAAGGAGTACACAGTAAAGTGTCACCTCTGTAGCCATTGTTAGCATGGACACCAACGTGGTGCAATCACTATGGCAGTTCTCTAATTTTTGGTTTTATACAGAGTTCCCCTTTTATAGGTTTGTTTTAACCGAGATCCACTTTATAATAGCAGATTCCAGCACAATGTCTGTAAAGGCTGTCGTTTGCATATTATTATTTTGGAGATGTGTTTCTATTTATTTACCTAACTGTAATAATTGTGGTGACTAACATTTTCCTGTGCTGCTATGTGCACGGTTTTTTTTTTTTTAAACTTTTTTTTAAATGTATTTTTCTTAGTAACAGATGTTTTAGCAGCATGAATGCAAACTGTACATCTATAGTGAACGCAAACAACAATCGCGCTCTAGAAGGGGACAATTTAGCCAGAGAAAGGCTCTCTTAGAAAAACCACAACCCTCCTAGAGAGATTTGGTCTCACTGGCAGTCCATTAATTTGTTCAAATTAAATATTATCTTTGAATATTTAAAGGTTAAATGTACACTGATAATGGATTTAGACAGCCATTAAGCGGTAATTGCTCCCTAATGCTGTTAATAACAGACGTTTTGATGTAGCTCACAAAAAAAATTGACGGAAAGCACATTGGATTTCCTCTATTTTTTCCTCATTAGGCAGCCTATTTGTTTAAGTTAAACCGTTTCTTTCAAAGTGAATAAAACACTGTATGGAAGAGACGTTTTATACAATAAGCTGAGGCTTTAACAACCATTTCCAGTGGTTAGGAAGGTCCTTCTACAGAAGAGGAAAATATATATTTAGCAGACTCAGTGTGCTTGTATTTCTTCAATATTTATAATTACTGTAGGGAATAATCGGTGCATGCATAAACAATAGAGGTCAATGAATCTGTGAACATCCACTTTGCCAACAGTCCGCTAAATCCAACCCTACAACTCATTTTGCTGTGTCAAATATTCATTCTCTGCTTCTTCCTAACTATTCCAAGAAGCGATATGTTAAAGAGGAGCTTCACCCTCCTTACTTTTCTTCCAAGGTTGTCCTTAAGGTGTTACTAAACTCTGCACCCTGCATCCACTATATCTGGTCTCCCCCCGACCCTGCATTCACTATATCTGGTCTCCCCGGACCCTGCATTCACTATATCTGGTCTCCCAGGACCCTGCACTCACTATATCTGGTCTCCCCGGTCCCTGCATTCACTATATCCGGTCTCCCAGGACCCTGCATTCACTATATCCGGTCTCCCAGGACCCTGCATTCACTATATCTGGTCTCCCAGGACCCTGCACTCACTATATCTGGTCTCCCCGGACCCTGCATTCACTATATCCGGTCTCCCAGGACCCTGCATTCACTATATCCGGTCTCCCAGGACCCTGCATTCACTATATCTGGTCTCCCAGGACCCTTCATTCACTATATCTGGTCTCCCAGGACCATGCATTCACTATATCTGGTCTCCCACAGTACACAGAACACGGAAATGCAATTATTTTAGTCAATATAAACTGCTAAATACCTTTTCTCATCAGCAGTTAGAGCAGTCTTGTGACTTCAGCCGAGCACTGGTTAAAGCTTGTAGGAGGAGTTTTCTTTCTGCTCTAGGAGAATGCAGAACCCCTGACCTCTGTCTGGACAGTGCTGATTGGCCCTGTGCTGATCACATGCATTCTCCCAAGAAAAAAAAACCCTCTCTGGAAATACACACAAAACTGAGTATGTGCATTCGGCTACGGGTTCAGTGTGTCTTATCAGGTGGACATTTGAACAAGAGGAAGGGCAGAGAAAACAGGATCAAATGGCCTTTTTACATATTGCAGAGTATTAATCCCTTAGGTTCCATAGTGAGTATAACAAGCATGCTTTACTGCATATATACAGACTGATTTTACTGCTGTGGGTTTAGTAACACTTTAATCCACATATTAACCTTCCCAGTCTAAAGCTGAGGTTTTAATAGCCATCGCCAGTGGTTAGGAAGGTCCTTCCACAGAAGAGGGAAAATATATATTTAGTAGGCCCAGTATGCCTGTATTTCTACAATATTTATAATTACTAAAGGGAATTTTTTGTGCTTCCATAAACAGTAGAGATCAATGGATCTGTGATGATCTGCTTTGCCAAAAGTCTACTAAATCCAACCCCACAACTCATGTTGCAGTATCAAATATTCATTCTCTGCTCCCTCATATCTTCATTCCAAGAAGTGATATTTTAAAGAGAAGCTTCACCCCCCCCCCCCCCTTACTTGTCTTCCAAGGTTGTCTTCAATCCACACATTAACCCACCCAGCCTGAAGCTGAGGTTTAATATCCATTTTCAGTGTTTAGGAAGTTCCTTCTACAGAAGAGGAAAATATGTGTTTAGTAGACCCAATGTGCCTGTATTTCTACAATATTCCTAATTACTGAAGGGAATTTTTTTGTGCTTGCATAAATAATGGAGGTCAATGAATCTGTGATGATCTGCTTTGCCAACAGTCCTCTAAATCCAACCCCATGACTCATGTTGCTGTGTCAAGTATTCATTCTTTTGCTTCCTCCTACCTCCATTCCAAGAAGTGACATGTTAAAGAGGAGCTTCACCCCCCTTACTTTTTTTTTGTTTTCTAGGGTTGTCCTCAATCCACATACTCATCTGCTATGCCCAAATCTGAGGCTTTAGTAGCCATTTCCAGTGGTTAGGAAGGTCCTTCTACATAAGAGGAAAATACTGTACATTGTAGACTCAGTGGGGTTTATTTACTAAAGCTGGAGAGTCCAAAATCAGACTCCCTTCTGCATAGAAACCAATCAGCTTCTAACCTCAGCTTGTTCAATGAAGCTTTGGCAATGAAACCTGGAAGCTGATTGGTTTCTATGCAGAAGGGAGTCTGATTTTGGACTCTCCAGCTTTAGTAAATAAACCCCAGTGTGCCTATATTTATAACTATTGAAGGGAATTATTGGTGATTTCATAAACAATAGAGGTCAGTGAATCTGTTAACCATCTCATTGCCAACAGTGCACTAAATCGAACCCTACAACTCATGTTACTGTGCCAAATATTCATTTTCTGCTTCATCCCACCCTCATTCCAAGAAGTGATCTACGAAAGGGGTCATTTGGGACAACAGAACTTTATTTTACGTTCACTGGGTTGTGTTTCAATATAACATAATTAAGATAAGTGGAAAATAAAAACTACATGCAGTCCGTCCCTAGCATTATGTTTTGTTTTTCTGGGTCCTCCATGTAAGATAGTGTTAATACCTGTTGATCCTGTCTGTTGATTTGACATTTTTCCACTTGCTGTAACCAAGCGGCAACACTTTTCTGCAATGAAATCATTCAGTGATGTTGTCACCCCCTGTGGACAATGTAGTCTTGGGATGTACACACACTTGGCATGGCTGCCTTGTATCTTGATTTTCCTCCCTTCCTCCTCTGGACTGTGTTTACAATGTGTTTGGCTCAAGCCTGCTTACATCAACACCTCTTCCATTGACTATAGTGCTCCTTTTGCTGAGTCCAACTGAACCCTGCCTAAGCCCACTTCTTCAAGGTGCAGATGATCACACTAGTCAAACAAACTGGAATTTGGGGATTAAACATTCTGAGTTTGGTACATATTTCCTTGTGTGGGTATGTCCTTAAGCTGCCCATACATTAGAAGATTTTCTAACGAATGTTTGTGCAAAAATTCTAATGACAATTCTCAGTACCTTTGATGAATTGACGAATGTCATTTAAAAGTACTTCAAAATGTTGTTGGATTTAACATTCAATTATGGAATGAATGGACTTTCCTGAGCAAAAACCACATACACTGTTAGAAATCCGTTCATTTGAGAAAATGTTGGTCCTTCAAATTTTCTCATCAACGAACCCCAATTTGACCAAACTAGTGATCAGAAAATCCTAAAATGACACATTTTGATCTGAATTTTAATAGCATTTGGCTTTAGTCCCTGGCACATGTTACAATCTGACTCTACAATCTCCTTGACATGTACCAACAACTATCTATTGCAAGGGTGTATATGACTGAATACAAGTTGATTGTATAGTTTGGGTCGATCATTAAAATAGGTTAGATAGAAGTAATTTTGGTACATGTAAAGTTGATTGTGCAGTATGATGGTACAGTACAGCTTCAGATGAACAAATCAATTTCATAGCACTTTAAGGAAGCGCCAAGTAAATTAAAGCCTAACCCCAGCTAACACTATTTAAAGTGGAACTAAACTCTCTTAATTAACATTAACTGTGTCTAATCCTTAGGCTGCTAGCATTAGTAAATAGATAGGAAGGTATATTTTTTTTATTGGTTTGAAACTTTTTTTTTTAATGTTTCCTCAGTTGCTTCCTGGTTTCTGGCCTAGGCTAAAAATATCATACATCCCTGGAGTCTTCATAGGCATTTTTTTCTCTTATTTGAAAAGAGGGGAAGAGGAGCTTTCTTGGCTAAGCACACCCTCCTGCTGACATACGGGAGCTAAGGGCAGATGGATCCCAGGAAGTAAATGCTACCTAAATCATCTGCCCTTTCTCAAGATGGTCTCTGTTAGAAATGCTAGGGGGTGTTTTTCAAAGTGATTTCTCAACAAAATAAAGCATAGAGACATGGATGGATAGGTGTGAGTTTGCTTTGAAACTTAAAACTGAATTAAATAGCATTTTTTGTTTGTGGGGCTCAGATGCAGTTTTTCTGCTTTAAGCAGTTACAGCACCAGTATTTTTTGCTTTTTGAAAAAAGAGTTTAAATCATCTGAATAAAATCTGACCACAGAAAGAACCACTGTCAGTATTATATGGTTTATGCCTCATTCTGGACAGCTTGGCCTGTTTAGGGAAGTGGACAAAAAAGGTTTCCCTAGAGATACACTTTACTAGATACATTCAGAATCTGTAGGCATCTGTGGTAGTTCAGCACAAGAGGTTAATGCTAGATGCAAGTAAATTAAGCTGTATTAATGGCAAAATTGTTATATAATATCCATTCCTTCTTGAAACTATAAATGGTTTAAAGAGTAAGTCATTATAGTGAAATTATCACTGACGGATCGTTCAGCATTTCTCAGCAATTCCAGAGCCTCCAATAAGAAAATTCTCAAAGTACGGCTATGTAATCATATGAAAGCAGATTCTTTTCATCAAACAAATGGAAAGGCAGCTAAAAAATAAGAAATGAAAATTATAATGTGCATTTGTTCAAATTACAGAGACATTTCCAGGAAGCTTTTTTTAGGATTTTAAATGTTAGGACAAAGAGGTGTGTTCAACATTTTTTTTTAAAGAAAATAGTGGATTAAATATGTATCTCTATTTGTCTGTGAAAGTATGTAATTTTAGGTCAGTCCGTAGGCTTCGTCTGTTGCATCTGCTAGCCGGTGTCTCTCTAAAAACACTTTTATTTGAGGTTTCCCGTCCTATTTTCCAGACCTTCATTAATTGTTCTGTGTGGAAATCAAAGTAGCAATTTCGGCATATGGAAACAATTGAGGGGTTCGAGGGGGGGGGGGTATGGTGTGTGTGTGGGGGGGGTGTTTTTATAAGCATGTCAGTCATTAAATGACAGGTGCTGGTTGTTCTGGCATAAACTGAACTCTAGGCAAAAAATATAAAAATATATTATGCAATTATATGTTCATTGAAAACTCTTTAAGTGAATCTTAAAAATGCAGCTAGTTTGAGTACTTGAATGTGTAATGTGGTCATGCCCTGCACAAGACTCAGGGAAATGGAAATCCACCAACTCTTTTCTAAGGTTGCCACTCGTCCCCTCCTTCCCGGGGACAGTCCCCATCGTAAGAGGTCTGTCCTCGGAAAACAAAAGTATCTGACGGCAGAGACTGCAGAGCAATCAATCAAAGAAAGCTGCATGTCTGTACACATTTTTTTTCTCTTTTCCAAAGAAATTTAAGTCGGAACTCCACATGCATCTGAGCACCACAATTTGGGAATTTGGGAGCCAGTATGTCCAATCCAGGCATCAGCAGGATTTTTTTAGGAGCCAACTTCATTGACAAGAACTAGAGAAAACATCAAAAGTTAGGAGTTAGCTGTAATTTTTGAAATGGCTACCTAAGTCCTGGGTTTTCTCCAACCCAGACGTAATAAAAAATGCATTTCAATCCGTCCCCAGCCCAGCCAAAACCTAGAATAAAATAGGAATGGGGTCCGACCTGTACAGGCTTTTAAGTATCCAGTGTGCCGTACTGGAAATGATCTAATTTTGATTGGAACCATGGTATTAGCTTTAGATCACTTGCAAGGACAAAGTATTACATTTGTTGTACAGTTTTTACACTGGGTACAAAAACACTGTACAAGAAATATGACATAAAACAGGAAAGGAATAAAATGCATAAATGTGTTATTTTTTCCAAACTTGCTTAGAAACTGATAAGCAGCTCAAGAGCCCTGACTTGATCCACAAAAAACAAGACAGCTACTAGCATTTTCAGCAATGGCAATCTCC